TTCATGAAGAACTTCGTCAATTTATTCATCAATAAATTGTCAATGTAAAACAGCTATAAATCGTCAAGAACTTGATGAATAAATTGATGAAGTTATTTGACAGCTGATTTGGTGTATTACACTTGTCCAATTTCTTGATGAAGCGACTTCATCAATTAATTGATCAATAAATGTCAATGTTAAACAGCTTTAACGCCATGCAAATCTTTCAGTTACTTTTCTCGAATCTCGAATTAAAAATAAATACATCGATATTTTGCTATTTCGCGAAAATAGTACTTTATATCGTTATAAATTTATACAAGGATGGAAACAATTCGGCGCCAGCTGTTGGCGAGGAAGGTGCCAAAAAAAAACATGTTCCTCATTCCATAATTGAACTTTAGACTATAGCGATAGCCCTGTTTGCAGTTTATCGGCGCCTCTACAATTTCCAATGGACGTCAATTGAGGGTCCGCATTAATTTCGAGTATTTCGATCCTCCGATTTCGCGTAGACGGAGATCATTCGCGTGGAAAAGCACAAAGTGCGTTATCACACAATCCCGAGTAAACAATTCGAGTCGGAGCCGTTATCGGGCGGTATCTACATAATGAATGTAATTGCCCTCATAATTAACAGTTTTCATATGATACTAAAATAAAATAATTGCCGCTTTTAAACGAACTTATTATCGAGCGTCAGACATATGAATAAATATTTGTTTCGGCTTTGGATTTATACATAGAGTTGATCGGTATCGGTCTGGTCGGAAAGAATTCTTGTGTCCCTGCCAACTGTCTCTAATAATACTTTAGTGATCTAATAAAACCCGGCGATGGCTTTTCGACTAGAAAATCCGTCCTGAACCGTACCGGAATACGAAAGTTTTACTTTCCGATGCAAATGGATTCGGCAGGTTGGGGTTTTAGGAGATAATGACCTCATTATAATTTGAAATTACCAAATGGGGGCCTCCCGTCTCCGTCTCGGACGGTGGGCACGCCGTTAAAAGTACACGGCTTGGCACTTTGAGTTACCTACCTGCAAACGCTTAATTCGTTTGTACTGGATATGCCATTTTAGCGTTTTCGTATTGTAAGTTTTTATTTAGCTTGTCAAGTTGACGACAATTTTACCTTTAATTTTTTACTTGAATTGGGATGCATACAAATCTGGAAAATCTGAAATTGTCTGGAAATTTCATAGATTTCAATTTTTTTTTTCTAAAAATCACCATTGAAGTCAAAGAGTGACCTTCGATACCAGTTTAGATATGCAAAATCACACTGGCAAGGCTCACCAGGATTTTGGTACGCTGAATTCGAATCCGAGGTGCAAATTTCTCGATTGGCTCTGGTTTTTGAGATATCCTAACCTAAAAGTGCCTAAATCGCGATTTTTCGACATATTTGAGGTTATTTTCCATGAGAAGGAAATTTTTTGCTGAAACCATTAATGGGGTCTTACAGTACTAGATATACTTACTCGTTAAAACGCTTTTGGATATTATTGACTTTGAGAAATCGCAAACTTAGTAGTTTGACTTATTTCTCGATTTTTGAATATACTCACAACACAGCACCACAAACCTTATGGGTTTACGGTGTATGAGTTCGGAATTGAGCGTATTAACTTTTTTTGCGTAAAATATCGGCCATATATCTAATTTTTAGACATTTAAGTTTATTGCCAAATTTTACGTAACAGAATATTTTGGAGTTCAGATTCATTATCAGCGACCTAAAAACATGTAAGATCCCTACTTCAGGGTGCCGATGAATTTAGGTTTGTAGTCCTGTGTTGTCAGTATATTCAAAAATCGAGAAATAAAACGACTAAGTGCGTTTTAAAGAAAGTACTTTTAAGACCCCATTAATGGTTTTATAAAAAAAAAATTACCTATCGATGTAACATAACCTCAAATATATAAAAAATCGCGATTTTGACACTTAGGTTAGGATTTCTCGAAAACCTTAGCCAACTGAGAAATTTGGACCTCGAATTCGAATTCAGCGCACCAAAATCTTTCCGAAAAGTACATTCTATTCTCTGGGTTAGAGTGTTGGCCAAATTTTGACGGCCTGCGTATATCCAAGATAAAAACTAAAAATAATAATTTGTCTAAATATAATTAATACAAAAATACATACCTGATATAATTATAAAATTATATTATGAACACAAGATATTTATTTGAATTAAGTTATATTGAGACAAATAATTTTTAGTTCTTATTTTGGACAATTCTTTATTACTACATGTTTATTGGGTGTTTGGGAATTTTGTCTGTGGGCTTACATATCTTTTGCATATTCAGATTTTTGGTATCGGTGTTGGTATTTTTGGTTTTGTTCGATTTCGAAAAATTTGGAATTTGTTTGAATTAGTTTAATATCTATAAAATAGAATAAAAAATATATGAAAGCTAATAATAAAATGTTTTTTAAAATGTAACTCCTTTCTTTGCTGTCCAACTGCAAAAATTGTTGAACATCTCGTTAAGTAATTTTACAATTTTCTTGACGTTACTATAACAGCTATAAAATCCAATATGCCATCAATACGAAATAATAGATATTTTCTGGAAAATGCTGTTTAATAAATAACAAAAAGATATATCAGAATTGTACAAGAATTTTTTCAGTTTGAAAAACGTTACAGCTAAATTTTAAAGAGCAATTTTTTGCTTTCTAATAATTCTTGAGATACTGTAGTGTATTCCAATTTTGTTCACTCTGTAAATAAGTAAGTACCTACCTATAATAGTGTTTAAAAGTTCGCACACAATTAATTTTAATTTTAAAAGAAAATGGCGTTGTTTTCACTAAATCCAAATTTCTATTGAAATAGTTAAAATTAAAAAAAAAATAGAAAAATGTTTTTATTTTTTTTCTTTCATTTTAATTCAATTTATTAATTATTACAGTACAACTTTTCTGTACAATTAACAGAATAAATGTTAACTCGTATAATAAAGTATTAATTTGCTGATTTTGTATGAAAATTAATACCTTTACAATTTAACTAAAGGTTCCTTATATTTTTCAAAATTGAATATACAGGATGTTTCTAAAATAGGGTTCCAAACTTCTGCTGCGTTTATAACTCATTAAAATAAGCCAAAAAGTTCCTATTAACATGTGCCCTAAAACGCACCCTTAGGAAGTTATATGCCCTTAAAAGGGCTCAAACAAAACTGTTTTTTTTTTCTGTTATTGACAAAACGGTCGCAAATAAATAGAAAAAAATTTATGGGTGTTACGTAACTTTTTACGTTAAATAACATGGGCTACTCCGTTTTTTGACATGCAAATCATATGCGTCCCATTTAGGTTGGCGAAGGGGGTTTTCGGCCCGTAATTTTTTTTATTTCAATTTTTATACAATTTTCTTTACAGATTTATAAAATCTTGACAATTTTACGTAAAAAATATCTTGTCCAAATCGATATTTTCAATGGTTTTCGAGTAAATTGAGTCCACATGTAGCTATTGTCTGCAGTAGTAATTAGTTCTTTAATTAGTAAGTGTAACTCTAAATTTAAATAGTCTTAGTTTATGTCCTAAATTATTTATTAAATGATCGGATCCTTCATAACTGAGGGCACCTCCGAAGATGGTTTTCGGCTTAAAAAATTCGTCTTTCCAAGTACTTTAAGATGCTAATTGGCAGAATTGAAAAATCCAAGATGGCGGACATAATATGGCGCCTAGAAGTATAACAAAAATAAAGAATCGTCCGATAAACTTCTCACAGTAATCAGATTAACGACGAATAATCTTAAAGTACTTGGAAAGACGAATTTTTTAAGCCGAAAACCATCTTCGTAGGTGCCCCCAAATTTTGGGCACAGGCTTGATCGATTTGACGTTGATCGTCCCGTATATTTTTAATTTTGCTTAATTAAAATAAAGTTACAGGGTTCATAGCGGCCAGGAAAACCGGGAATACCGGGAAAAGTCAGGGAATTCGTTATTCCTCATAAAAAACAGGGAATAGTCGGGGAATTTTAAAAATATTTATGAAAGTCAGGGAATTTGAGATTTGCTACTGGAAATTTTGTGAAAGCAGGCCCTGGGTTCTTTGCGGTTTGAAACATTTATAAGAGGTTCTTTAGGTTTAAAAAAGATTATGGAGTCCAGTCAAGAAAAAGTTTAATGCATAAACATCAATTAGTATGTAAAAATGAACTACAAGTGACCTGGATTTTTTTTATGTCAGGGAATTCTTTATTATTTTTTAACTATGAACTCTGAAGTATCTTTTAAACCAAAAATCTTGTGCTGATATCTACATAATCTACTTGGAAAACCTGAAAATATCGAAATTTTTTTGGTCGAAACACGCTGTGAAATTAAACTAGTTTTGTTTGATATTTTGATAAATTGATTTCTAGTTGAAATGTTAAGCGCACCGACTTGAGCTTTTCCAAGCCACTCTAAAATAATCAGCTTTCCAAATCAGAAATTTCTATAGGTTACGTTTATTTTTAGATTATTTTTTTACAATAACAGTTCCAGCTCCTCAAACCGAAAATTTCTTAGGTTATGAGGCGTTTAATACTGTAAGATCAGAGCCTGTGTAACTTTATCTTTTAATGTTCCAATTATAATTAGAAGATTATACATGCAGCGACAACCGAAACCTGTTTAAATCATATTTTACATTTACGACTTTTGATCCATGATGACGTTTTAGAAAAGTTTCTGGTGATATATAAATATAAAGAAAAATTGCAAGTTTTCATTTCAGAGATATAAAACCAAAATAGTTTTTTTTTATGTAACTCCCTATATGTTTGTCGTTTATTTGGATTTTCTTTTCTTTTTTTCTGATTACAGAGAATGTAAATAGAATAGTAAAAATGTAAAATATGTTTTATGCACATAAACATATGTAATATTTTTTTGTTTTCGAATATTTAGTGATGTATAGACAAAATTTTTTAATAAATCTTTTTCCCGGCACGAACGAATAATTTTCCGTTGAAGTAACGGCTTGCCTTATATTTTTGCAGCTAAATCAAAACAGAATGTGCAGCGAGTTGCCCAGAAACAGGGTCTTCCCCAAAACAACAATCAGAAACCAGCTCTGACCGTAGTACCTCAACCGCAACCGGCGAAGGCGAACAACAAGTCCCACAAGAAGAACGAGCTCAACATGAAGGGGGCGAACAAGGAGGGCACCGACATGGACGCCTTCAACGACAATACCGCCGAGAAGGAGGAAGTCAACGCCAACGTCAACTCGAACTACATCAATAACGACATCGTCAATGCCAATTCCATAACCAACAACGCGGCCGTCGCCGCCAAGGACGTCAGCGTCGACGGTGAATCAAACAATAAGAAAATCGAAAGCAATGATACACCGACAATCAAAACGGAACCCGTTAAACCTCTGAAGACTAAAATAGATATCACCGATATTGTTAGGGAGAAACCGAAACCGATCAAACCGTTCACTCCGGTCGAGAGCCACGATGAGACTGATAGGTCAGCGACCTTAACGGATAAATTGGTGCAGGCGAAGAACGAGGCTAACACCAAGGTCAGCGAGAATAATGGGAACGAGAAGTCGCTCTATAAAGAAGGTAGTTTTGCCTTCGCCCTCGTCTGAAATTTCATTCATAATGTCGCTATTGTTCTAGGTCAATTTTCTCCCTCCAACCCCGACGGAAAGAGGGTTTATCACAAAGAACTGTTGATGGCCCTTAGAGAGTTGCCGGCGAGTAGGATAAAGCCCGATAATATCCCGGATTCTGTCTTAGCCGACAACAGAGGGGTACGTCGTAAAATATTTTTTCAAATAAGTTTTGTTTTGATATCAATATATTTTTTTTTGTAGCGTCTTAGTGATGGAAGAGCGTCTATGGGTGGTAGAACTGACTTCATGAACCCACCGTTCACCAATTACGGCGGAAAGTCCAGTACTCAGAGAGGGGTGAGTTCATTTTTTTTCTTTTTGGAGTTTTATATGTCGCATTTTGTAATGATGATTTGTTGGAAAAGATGAAAGTAGTGAACTGAACTACTTTGTTGAAAAAACTTATTCTGATTTATACTCCAGGTCCAAGTAGAGTCGTTCTTAACATGTAAACCTTGTGCCGGGTAGGACGTTTGGGGAATGAGGTTCCATGGGCGTATCATTTTAGGGGTTCCAAAAATTGTTAAATGCAGAATAATATTGATTTTGGTAAACACTATCTTCCTGAATTTATACTCATTTTGGTATATCTAGCAGGTAGCTCGGCACATTTTTAAGATTAAATTACAGTAACTTTTGCTCACAAATTTTGACATTTGTAAGCCATCAGGATCAAGGTGGCGGTGCGATTGATCTGATAAATTACTCATTTATTATTTAGTACATTTATGAAAACAAAGTCTTGACGTAATTTAGATATTAGTAAAAATCGGTCGAAAATAGTATATACAATTAAAATATAAGGTTGCGCCAAGAAAAAAAATTGTGCTATTTGCAGAAAAAATAAAAAATTGCAAAAATACTCTAAAATGACGTTTTTTCTAACATTTTCCAATATAACTTTTTAAATATGCAGTTTACAGAAAAAACTATTTCTGATGAAATTGTTTGTAATAAAATTTGCTACAAGATAGAATTGTTTTGATACTGGCGCATATCATATTTTTGTTGCTAAATAGCCAAAACAACGTAAGAAAGTGATGAAAATCGAGGTAATTTGGAACCGTTCAAATGACGGGCAAGAAATTATCCAATTCTACTATAAATGTAGATGTAAGTACTTTAAAAAATTACAAAACGAAATCCCAAAACCCGATCCAAATCGGTCTGATAGTTTTGGTATGAGACAAATTTCAGCGCGAAATGTTGTTATTTTTTTGCGTCAGTGTTAAAGTTAGGCATTTTAATTGGCGCAGATTTTTTTACAATTACTTGGACCCCTTAACTATCATATTAGAATCCTTATATCAATTTTCTTTTTTTAAATTTTGGAGCGATTTTTAAAGTTCGAAAAATTTTCACTATAAACAAATACATTCATGAAGCGGTTTTGCGGGTTGGAAAATATACCAAAGTACTAAAAAAACAGTTCTCGGAAAGACGCTTAACTTGAAAGAAAGAACGTTTAAATTGGTCGTATAAGTTTCGAGATATCGAGTGTCAAAAGTCAACAAGCGTTAGCTGCTAAACTATGCATAATGTGACAACAACAAAAATTGAATTTGGTAGGTTTTTTAAGAACTTTTCGTATGTGCTTTTATAAATATTATCGCACCTGTGCTTTTTATATGAAAATTCAATTAATATCGCCAAGCCGACCATTTGAGCCACAAAACCGGGGCGGGAGGGGATGAATGATAGAAATTGAAATTGCGCGTTCAAGAAGAGCATGCCGTCTTCGGCGTTCTATATTTCGGCTTCTACGGCTCCGATTTTGATTATTTGTTTTTAAATCAATATAGCAAAATGAGAGGAATTCAATTATCACCGATTTGAACGTTCCTTTTTTTCAAGTTAAGCATCTTTTCGAGAACTTGTTTTTAGTACTTTTGTATATTTTCCAACCAGCTTCACGAAAGTATTCGTTTATAAAGTCAAAATTTTTCAAATTTTTAAAATCGCTCCAAAAATTATTTAAAAAATCCTATATGATAGAGGGTCTAAATATGTGTAAAAAATCAGCGCCGATTAAAATGCTTAACTTTAACCCCAGCACTGACGCCAAAAATAACAAAAATTCACGCTGAAATTTAGTAACAAATTATCTCATACCAAAACTATCAGAGCGATTTGGATCGGGTTTTGGAATTTCGTTTTGTAATCCTTAAAGTACTTACATCTACATTTATAGTAGAATTGGACAATTTCTTGCCTGTCAATTGAACGCTTCCAAATTACCTCGATTTTTATCACTTTCTTACGTTGTTTTGGCTATTTAGCAACAAAAATATGATATGCGCAGGTATCAAAACAACTCTATCTTGTAGCAAATTTCATAACAAACAATTTCGCAAGTAATAGTTTTTTCTGTAAACTGCATATTTAAAAAGTTATTGTTTATAAAAACATATAGGTTTTATGGACTGTATTTATAATGAAAAATAGTATTTCTTTGTTTATCAAAAACGAGTTTTTATTTTTTAATTAACAAACTCAATCTTTTTTTTACGTTTCTATTTTATTTCTATGTGCACTTGGTTCTCGTTCCAATTCTCAATAGTTATATTGGAAAATGTGAGAAAAAACACGTCATTTTTGAGTATTTTTGCAGTTTTTAATTTTGTTTGCAAATAGCACTTGTTTCTTGCCGCAACCTTATATTTTCATTGTATGTATTATTTTCGACCAATTTTTATTAATATCTAATCTACATCAAGCAACAGCCATATCTCGAAGCTTTTGAGCTTAATTCTCTTAGACTAAAAGTACATATTCAGCAATTCCGCTCTCGTCGTCAGAGATGGCCTACTACCACCTGAGTACACTTTTTTTCTTTCGTTTTTTATTGTGGGATTTGACCTTCGCTTTCTTTAAGTGGACAAGTGGGCCCTGCAAAAAGCCCTCTTACTTAGTTTGGTGACACAAAATTAATAAAATCACTAATAGTACAGACATCACTGAAAAATCTTATATGCCACCGATAAAATATTAAAAATGATCGTAATATGAGTAAAATTTAATTACTATTGCTTTGTTTTTGTATTTGCATAATCCACTTATTCCATGTCTCCACAATTACCTTTTAAAGAAATATCTTATATTCTTTGTTCTAACCTCACCCTTTTCTAAATTAATTCTGATCTAAAATGTTGAAATACTAAGATCTTTCTATCGTGGCTCTTTATTTGTGTCAAGGTTGATGTTAGAACAACGTAATAAAGCCACTATTTATTTTGTTAGCGAACTGAAAAGTTATAAACCGTACTTGGTAAAGTAAATCTTTTTAGGGGCAACAATGCACAAATCTACTTCTAGTAACTTCTGTTACTTTATGTTAGTTCCTTCAGTTCTTATCGTTTCTTATCATCCATTCATATTGTGGTTTCATCGTGTTCATTTGTTTTGATACGCTACGCCATCTCTGTCATGTTTATAGAACCATAGTTGAGGTTAAAAGCGTGGTGTCAATATAACATGGTGTGCCTGCGCGCATGTGGTGACGTCACTTGAGATAAAGACAGATAAAATTATGACATTGGCATGAAAATGCAACTTTCTGTCGTTTTTCTCGTAATCCAGGGCTATTGTATCCTAAATAGGTAACTTTTTTTCAAATTTGACGAAATATTTAAGGTTACATTCACATTTATACCCTACACATTTAACACACAATTCATACCACGGTTAAAAGTAAAAAGTACTCATTTTGAATATAATGAATAAAGCATTTCTTAGTCTTATACTAAAGAACATCATCACTGCACACTTTTTTGGACCTGGACGATAAGCTGCAAGTTACACTCCAATTCTGAATTTTTCGGACGCGACAGTAACGTATTTATCTGTAGGCACCTCCGAAACGTAACAGCCAAGGGAAGATGGGAGGCAGCGGTCAGAAATCGGCCAGGCCCACTGTGACTTTGTCCATTTCCTTGAGGGAGGAGGTGAAATTGCACGAGACAGAGAACGCGTGGCGTCCGGCTCGTCTCCACAAAGGCGAGGCCCCCCCGACGGACGACGACAGAAGGACCGAGGATCTGTACAAGAAGGTCAGGGGTGTGCTGAACAAGCTGACCCCCCAGAAATTCGAGACCCTCCTCTCGCAGATCAAGTCCCTGCACATAGAAACCGTCGAGAGGCTACAGGGCGTCATAGATTTAGTGTTCGAAAAGGCTGTGGACGAACCGAACTTCTCGATTGCATACGCGCTTATGTGCAAGGAGCTCGCGCTGATGCAGGTAGGCAGGATTGAAAATAAGGGAATTTGCCAAATTTTTTTTAAATTCGTTTTGTTTTCTTAGGTGCCAACTATTCACAACACGGAGGAGAATCCGGACTTTGTTAATTTTCGCAAGTTGCTCATCACCAGATGTCAGGTGGAATTCGAAAAGCAGTCCATAGACGAGAGCGTAAGGAACGAGAAAGTCAAGGAGATTGAGGAGTGCACGGATCCCGAGAAGAAGAAGGATCTTCAGTTCGATTTGGAAGAGTACGATAGGCGCTTGCGAATGAAGTCCGTAGGAAATATTAGATTTATAGGTACGTCTAGTTTTTTTTTAATGTTAGGGTGTGTATACCACCTGAAAAACTGGGAATTAGCAAAAAATTAAGAGTCGGTTGCAGTATTGACCCCAAAAAAGATTCCGTCGTAAAAACTAAATTTTTATTTTTTGGAATTTAATAACGATTTGTTTTCCGTTTAAATATAACTTCAAATTCACAGTTAAATGTACTGTGTTCAAATGCAGAACAAAAACTTAACCCCTTCGCTTCGTCACCATTGACCTGCACTATCTCCCTGCGCCTGTACTGCGGATTGCCAACAATTCATGTATTAGTAATACATGAATATCACAGTTAGTCCAATCAATAGGTAGAAGAGCTTACAAAAAATATGGTGATATAGGAAAAAAAATTCCAAGAAAGATAATGTATATTTCCTGTGGCACATAAACGGCAAAGTTAACCTAAAAAATTCATAAAAGACAAAAAAAACGGTTTTCCGCTAATGAAAATAAAACTTGAACTCCAATCGAAAAAAGTTAATTGAGAAAGTTGTAGCTATTAAAAAACCTATCGATTGGTATTTTTAAATATATTGGTTGTTACATTACTTTTCGAAATATATCAAAAAAACCGTCAAAAATCGCCTTTTTTTGTTATTTGCTGTATCTCTTGCAAATTAAGGTTTTACTGTAAATGTAGCCCTCGTCGAGCAAAAAAGTGCCTTTTTTTAAATTGAAAAATATTAAAAAATTTTCGAGTTATATTGATTTTCCGAAAAAAAGGTCATCTCAAAAATCGGCTCTACTTGCTCGATGAATATTCGTAGAGGAACGAATGAGGACTCATTTTTTTTCTTAAGAGTTGTACTTTCATAGTAACAAAGAGTTACAACGATTCTATTCATTTCAAGTGTCCAAAAATAACTGAAAAAAGTAAAAAAATTTTTGTCCTACTTTTCTGGAATATCTTTTGATTTTCATTTCACGATAATGTCTATTTCATGAATCGATTGCTGGCATTTTTACGCGAATTTAAAGAAAAAATGTTGCTCCACAATGTTCTGTAGCCGACATAATTTTTCAAAAAATTCAACAGGCCGTTATTTAAGTGCTACAGCGTCCATTCTTACAGTGATTGAAGTTGAAGTTTTCAATAAAAAAATACTGTGGTTCATTTTAGCCACTTCTGCTTCCGCTACAGTTAGCTCGCTCCGCGGTCAAATGCTTCGGTTTGACGCACAATTAAGAATGCAGAAGTGGCTTAAATGAACCATAGTATTTTTTTTATTGAAAATATAAGTCTTCAACTTTAATATTTGTAAGAATGGTCGCTGTAGTACTTAAAAAGCGGCCTGTGAAATTTTTTGAAAAAAAAATTATCGGCTCTAGAAGATCATAGAGCAACGTTTTTTTTTTAATTCGCGTAAAAATGCCAGCAATCGATTTCTGTAATAGACGTAATCGAGAAATGAAAATCGAAAAAGATATTCAAGTAAAACGTGACCAAAAAATTGTTACTTTTTTCGAAGCCATTTTTGGACACTTGAAATGAATAAAATCTTTATCACTCTCTTTTACCATGAAAGTACAACTCTTAAGGAAAGAAATGAGTCCTGATTCGTTTCTCTATGACTATTCGTGAAGTAAGAGCCGATTTTCGAGATGACTTTTTTCGAAAAATCGATATAACGAGACATTTTAAATATTTTTTAATTAAAAAAGGCATTTTCTTGCTTGCCGAGGGCTACATTTACAGCAAAACCTTAATTTGCAAGAGATACAGCAAAAACAAAAAATAGGCGACTTGATGGTTTTTTCGATATAATTCGAAAAGTAATATAACAATCGAGATATTTAAAAATACCAATCGATAGGTTTTTTTAATAGCTGCAACTTTCTCATTTAACTTTTTTCGATTGTAGATCAAGTTTATATTTTATTAGCGAAAAACCGCTTTTTTTTTGACTTTTATACATTTTTTAGGTTAACTTCGCCGTTTATGCGCCACAGGAGAAATATACTATCTTAGAATTTTTTTCCTATATCACAATATTTTTTGTTTCCAGGTGGTATTTTTTGTAAATTTAACATTAGGCCGTGACAGATTGATTGGACTAAGTGGCGCCGTACATAAATTAAAGAGCATTTTAAAAAACTAATTAATAACTTGATAATTTATTTGATTAAAAAAAAAAAAGAATTTCAGATTCGTATTCACTTATTTATATAGTTGACTCTCAAATGATGTTTAATGAAAGTAGTGGACTGATATAATTGAGGACACTTTTATAACAACTGATAATTGGGTGTTTTCTTAATAATTTAACTTCACGGTTTTCACGTAAATACAGAACTTAAAAAATTTTTTTCCTAAAAATGACACCCTGCTACTTCCAATTCGCAATCGAACCGTTTCCACGAACGTCCGCTATACGTTTCGCGACATTCCAGGGGAGCTGTTCAAGCAGAACATGCTGACGGTCAACATCATGATGCGGTGCCTGGCCAACCTCCTCGATAACAAGGACGAGGAGAGCCTCGAGTGTCTCTGCAAGCTCCTGACGACGGTGGGCAAGGAGCTCGAGTCCAAGTCCAACGTCAACCTATCCCAGATCTTCAACACCATGAAGAACATAGTCGAGAAGAAGGACGGCAAGGTCAGCAGCAGGATCAGGTTCATGTTGCAGGACGTGATCGACCTGAGGAACTCGAAGTGGGTGCCTCGCCGGCAGGATTTGAATCCCAAGACGATCGAGCAGATCCAGAAGGAGGCCGATAACGAGCAGCTGAACATCCAGTTGATGAATTCTGTTCCGATGACGCCCAGGAAGGAAGACCGGGTGGGGTCCGGGCCCAATTCCGATAGGAAAGCCGGCAGGGGGGGACGCAACGTCTCGTCCGACGACGGCTGGATTGTCAACACCACCAACAGGAATCGTACCACCCAGTTCACTGTTCAGAGCGACAAGCTGAAGAGCAAAGCGGTGAGTGTTTTTTTTTCTTTCTTTTTTTTTTTCTTTGTTGTAGCGATTTCAAGTAATATTTTTCTCACGGCTCTTTAAAATTCAACAATAATATTGGTAACCCGTTCCGAATCCTTATTTCTTTTGTTTTTGTAATATTCACTTCTTTGGATTCATTTTTACAGCGTTCTCACTCGTCAAAAAAGTCAAAGCATAAAAAAGTTATGGTAAATTTTACCCCCCTCCCCCCAGTTTTCCAATATATTAAGATCCAATAAGATTTTCCAATAATTTTTCACAATTTTCTTTTCTCTAATTCACTTTTGCTATTTAGAAAATAATTATTTTCACATAATTGTACTTTATTTAAAAAATTTATGGGAAAACTATTGGGAAAATCGAAATTTTTCATATGAGCAATTTTGTAGGAAATTTCGAACAATGCGTGTTCATTAAAATTTTGGCAATTGTAAAAAAACGCGATAAATCAAATACAGGGTGATTCAGAACTTATCAAAAAAAAATAAAAAATTTGGACGTCCAGGGGACTTACAAATACAATATTGTAAATAAAAAATCAAAAAAGGCAGTTCGAAAATGATTTAAAAATAACACTTCTGCACGGCACTGGAAACTGGTCCACTGTAAAACCTGACCTTAGGTGTAATGTAATAAAAAACGGACAAAAACTTGAGAGAATTTCGTAAGGAAAGAAATAAATAGTTTTATAACACCTATTTTATATCGGCAAATTCAACTGCTTTTGCTGCTATTGCTATTATTAATAAATCAAATTAATTTGTGGTTTTACTTAATAAAATAATAATAACTGTTAAAAATTTTGTCCACCGACATGTAAACACATTTGGGCCCGTTTTACTCAGTTTCTACGGACTAACACAAATGTTGTCCTGCTTCACCATAAATTAAAACTGTATCTATTAACTCCGAGTTGCTATACACACATTTTTGACACTAAGTACTAAAAAAATGTTGTAAACACTATTACAACGATGATTGTAAAATCGGATTTCAGTATTTGGAGTTGCTGAGGTCACGTGGCTTTCCACTTGTATTGCGAATGACGCTAGAGACTACAGTTGTCCAGCGATGTGATGCTTGAAAGTACTACAACTTCAATAATTTTTTTCTCAGAAACAGGATTTTACAAAAATTTATTTTACGATATTGACTATTTCTCATGCCGCATCTATTTCCAAATTTATTTGGATAAGTTGCGAATTACCCTGTATATATGTTAATATCTCAAAATGCCATATGTAACTGGTGGTGACGCTTATTTTCTGATCTCAAAACCTACACTTTTTTAAAAAAAATCTCTTCAATGAAAAAGTTCGCTAATTTTTTCCTGATTTTCCTGGACTATATGATGAAACAGTTTTTTGGTATCACTTGCTTGATAGTTATTATTTTTTGACAATTCACAATTTTTTTTTTCATAATTGAATCTTGAGAATATGCTGAAAAGATAAAAAAGATTAAAACTGCTGAAGATCTACGAAAATCCTTGAACACAAATTTAGGTGGTCTTTTTTTTTTTTTTTGGTGAGTGTAGATGTAAACAAAAAAACTAAATGAAAACACAATAGAATCTACGGCAACTTTTGTTTAAATAATAATTTTTTAAATGTAGATTTAAAAAATGTATTGTTTTCGAGAAAACTAGTCCTGAATCGCCTAGATTTGGTCATTGAGAGCAGTGGGAACGCTGTTTTCGTTTTAAGAGTGACGGTTGTTTTTTTTAACTTGCAAAAACGGAAAAATTTTATTTTCGAAATCTCCAAAGAAGCTTGGGGAGTTACTTAATTACACCATTGAAAGATTTTTTTGTTTTTTTAGCCCCTAATCGACGAACCTTTGGGCTCTAGTCAGTTGTTCGGCAGCTGGGGCAAGGGTTCGGTAGGCTCTAACATTAAATCTCAACCCCCATCCTTAGGTGCCAACACTGCCAACATGTACGCCGCCTTGGAGAACATGAACCTGGACGATAAGCGGCCCATAAGTAAGTACAGTAAGTACACGGGCGTCGCGGTACCGCCACCCTTCCCTCTCGATTCGGGACGAGACAGTACAAAACTTGCGATTCTTTCAGCCTCTCGACCCGGCAACAAGGACCCCTACAGTTCAAAGGGTCCCAGCATGGAGAGGAGTTACGCGAAATTCGACGGCAGGGGCTCGAGGTCGGGATCGCAGCACAGGTCGAACGACAGCTCGGCGTCCTCCTCGCAACGCAGCACGCCTGCTCCCGTTATGCCCCCGACGGCCCCGCCGAAACTGCAACCGGCTCAGCCGGCGCCGGCGCAGCAGATGACGGAGGAACAGATGGAGAGGAGGATCAACAACTGCTTGGACGAGTACGTGACGGGCAGTTCCTCCGTCGACGATTACTTCTTGGATATCAGCCCCGTTATTCCTCCCTCGTATTTCCCAAGGATGATAGAGGACAGGTAAGACGAGTTAATGTCAAAAGACTCTTCTTTTTGTGGAATGAATATTGATTTTTTTAAATTGCGACGATGTGTTTCAGTTACCTGCGTGTGTTGGAAAAGAGCCAACAGGCCAGGTTGAAAACGGGCAGTCTGTTCGCCCAGTTGGTGAAACGCGGCAGGATCCAGCTGGAGGATTACTGCGCTGGCCTGGAAGGCATCCTGTCTCAGGCGGATGACCTCAAAATCGATATCCCGAAGATTTGGGACTACTTAGCCGAAATTTTAGGTAAGTGGATGGCAAATACAGTTTCGCTGCGTCATGCGACCGTACGCACGACTCAGTCAACCGTTTCGGCTAATAACTTTCCGAACCGGTGTTACGATTGTGCGAAATCGAGAAGGGGAGGATTCGCTAACACCATGAGGGTTTCGCACCCGAGGAGTGGGGTTTGATAGTAGCCTCCCCACATTTTGTTTTCAGCCTAGAATGTCAGTTTAAACAAAAAATATCCTGACTATATTTTTAATTCACTTTAATCCAGGGCCATTTAACGTTTATTCAATTTATTTCAGTCGATTTAATTTGCGAGGAGGTTCTGCCTCTCGGCAGACTGTACAAGTCTTTCAAAGTCCTCATCAGCCAAGAGCACGCCGCGAGGGTGCTGGCGCCGCTCTTCAAACAAGTCGTAAGCGAGAAAGGACCCAACTTCATGCATAGCATCTGGCACGCGTCCGGACTCCAGTTGACCGACTTTATGCCCTCTTCCCAAGTCGACAGCTTCGTCAAAGACAATGTAAGTCGAGACGTCTCCTTTACGGCTCCTGACGTGCTAAATGTTTGTCCGATTTTTCAGCAATTTGAATTCTTGGTTGGTGGCGGCGCTCCCGTCGGCCAGAACCAGCTGAGCTACGAGCAGATTCAGATGAAATTGCTGGACTTCCTCAAGGCCAAGAAGCCGCTCGACGATATCGTCAGTTGGATAACGGTAAGTGAATGGAAATGTACGACATATGCTTTTTCTTCGAGAATATGTCCAGATGTGGGGATATTCTTGTTTCGATTGTTTTATCGACGGCCAAACTAGTAGTTTCCTTGATAACGAATTAAAATAAATGCTTTTTTTCAGAATCCGTGTTGAAAAACACGAATTATTTATTTATTTTTTTCCGTATTTGCAGGCCAACGTGGGAGGAAGGGTGAAGGAGAACCAATTCATAAAGGCGCTGGCAACTGCGATATTCAGGGATTCCATAAACAGCCACTTGAAGTTGGTGCCCGAGACGTTGTCGGCCCACAATAACTTGCTGCTGAAGTACGTCGACAACAATTCGACGTACGAGCTGCAGTGTCTGTACGCTCTCCAGGCTCTCATTCACAAACTGGAGCACCCTCAAGGTGAGTGGCTTGGGAGCGATTTATATCACCATTTTGGTTGTTTGTCGGGAAATATTTAGAGTTGAATTTGGTACGCCCACAGTCCCAGCTTCACGTAATATTTGTACGTTTATTACGCTGACGTTTAGCACTGTGGAAATAAACGCTATATTTACCTATATTGGTTGGATATTTCCATTCCATACTCAATATCATAATGTAGCTACAAGATTTTTTTTTATGTAATTATGATTATTGTTACGAAATTTTTATAAATTTTGAAAATTATTGAAATTTTTCATTACGCTTTTTTAAATATAATACACTAAGAACAATAATTGTGATTATTGCTTGGAATTTTAATTCATATAAAAAATTTTTTTTTAATGTACGGGGGACTTACAAATAGAAGTTTGTAAAAAAGCAAAAAGGGCAATTCCAAAATTATTTAGAAATACACTTCTGCACGCGCTGGAAACTGGTTCACTGTAAAACCTGACATTATGCAGTCGGCGGCAAAGTATAATATAAAATGAGCAGACAAAAAATTGAAAGAATTTCTTTCTCAAAGAAATCAATAAAATGAAACACCTATTTTATATCAGCGAATTCAACTTATTTTGTTATTATTAATTAATCAAATTAATTTGTGGTACCTGATGTTACAACTGTTCAAAATTCTGTCCATCGACGTCTAGACACATTTGGGCCCGTCTTGCCCAGTTTCTAAGATCTAACATAAATGTTGCCTTGCTTCACCATAACTCAAAACGATATCCATCAACACCCAGTTGTTACGAACCTAAGCCATTTTTGACACTTAAAAAACTAATGTAAACACTATCGCAACGACGATTGTAAAATCGGATTTCAGTATTCGGAATCACCTGGGGTCACTTGAGCAAATGACGCTAGAGACTACAGTAGACCAGCGATGTAAAGGTTGAAAATACTACAACTTCAATTTTTTAGCGTCAGTAGTTTTTGAGTAATCAAGAAAATCAACGGAAAAAAAAATGTAAATTTTTACTTTTTTAAAAAAGGCCTATGGATTTGTTTTGGTAATTTCATCATAAAACTTAAATAATTAAAATTTAATTCTCCGGAACCGCTCAAATTGAAGAGAATTAATCTACAAGTTTTATGATGAAATTACCAAAATTAATTTTTTAAGGCCATAGGCCTTTTTAAAAAAAGCAAAAATTTTACAAATTTTTTTTTAGGTTGATTTTCTTGATTACTCAAATACTACTGACGCTAAAAAATTGTAAATTGCAGATCTGTAAACTAGATACTTGAAGCTTCAATTTCTTTTTTTTATTATTCTCTACGACCGTTTCCCTTCAAGGTAACTCTTTGAAAATCACCCACAATTTTGGGATTTTTTTTTAATATCCCTTAATTTCTGTGCCTAGTGTAGATTGCAACACTCAAATAACGGGTATCAAAATTAAAGTGAAAAATATTTATGGTTTAAGATAAACCGCAACTCTAGTTTCAAAAATCGTCTGAACGGGAGCCTATTTCAATAAAGGTTATCATTAAACCCCGGACTTTTCCCAGTGTTGATGCACAAATCACCAGTTCATTGGATATTGTCACTTGTTTAAATCCGTCTGATAATTTGACGGTAAGCGAATTGTGTTTATATACTTTCNGAACCGCTCAAATTGAAGAGAATTAAATTATCTACAAGTTTTATGATGAAATTACCAAAATTAATTTTTTAAGGCCATAGGCCTTTTTTAAAAAAGCAAAAATTTACAAATTTTTTTTTAGGTTGATTTTCTTGATTACTCAAATACTACTGACGCTAAAAAATTGTAAATTGCAGATCTGAAAACTAGATACTTGAAGCATCAATTACTTTTTTTTTTTATTCTGTACTACCGTTTCCCTTCAAGTTACAGCTCTTTGAAAATCACACACAATTTTGGGATTTTTTTTAATATCCCTTAATTTCTGTGCCTAGTGTAGATTGCAACACTCAAATAACGGGTATCAAAATTAAAGTGAAAAATATTTATGGTTTAAGATAAACCGCAACTCTAGTTTCAAAAATCGTCTGAACGGGAGCCTATTTCAATAAAGGTTATCATTAAACCCCGGACTTTTCCCAGTGTTGATGCACAAATCACCAGTTCATTGGATATTGTCACTTGTTTAAATCCGTCTGATAATTTGACAGTAAGCGAATTGCGTTTATATACTTTCTGTGTATACACCGACATACTGGCAACAGAAAATAGGCGAGCACCGTAGAAACTATATAAACGTCATTCGCTTACCGTCAAATCATCGGACTGATTTAAACGTGGTAATATCCGATGAACGCTAAAGCTGTGATTTACGTGTCAACGCTGAGAAGAGAGTACGGGGTTTAATTGTTCTTTAATATAGAGTGGCCACAAAAATCGCCCGTTTTTTCACAATTTGCGGAGAACTAAAGAAAATAGATAAAAATATGTTTACGGTCTCAAATTAATCGTCGTAAAAAATTAAGATGAGCATAGCTTTTAGTTTTTTGAAAAATTTCAAAAATCACCCCTATTTAGGGGTTGAAAAGACGCCCAAAATGAAGAATTGAATATTGCCAATAAATATAAAAACTATTAACATGTAAATTTTTCTATCGAATGATTTATTCTCATGACTGAAATATGCATGTTGAATTAGAAAATCCACCCTTAAGTGCGCTCAGGGGGTGGAATCATCCCCAAAAATAGAGAATATCAGAAATAATTGTAGATTCCAAAAAAAAAAAAATTAGATAATTCACATGCTAACGGTTTTTTTAAATCAATTAGTAATATTCAAATTCTTCATTTTTGGCATTTTTTCAAACCTTTAATTAGTATGAATTTTTAAAATTTTCAAAATACTGAAAGCTATGCTCATTTCAGTTTTTTATGACAAGTAAATTGCGACCAAAAAACATTTTTATGTATTTTTTTTAAATTCTCAATTGTAAAAAAACGGGCGAAAATCACAGGTTTTTTGCGGTCACTCTTTACAGGGGACATGCCCATTGTGTTTGAATGCGTTCGATTCATTTGTCTTTACTGATTTCCCCGTTTCTTTAGGTCTTTTGCTTTCCATATGTGATAAATTGTACGAGTTGGGGACCTTCTCGCAGGAGAGCTTCATTGCCTGGGAGAACAGCTCCGACCCCGCCGAACAGGAGGGCAAAGGTTGGTGGATTTTCCGCAGCGTTGAACGATTGGAATCGTAATTTAAATCATTTTTTTTAGGGGTGGCCCTGAAACAACTGACTTGCTTCTTCACCCAGCTGAAGGAGAACGACGAGGAGGACTACGGATCCTCGACGTCGGACGAAGCCTAGCAGTTGGTAGCGCCGCCAGTGATGTTGGCGTCTACATAGACCTAATAAATTTTCCGGACAATTAAGTGAATTGAGTGGTGACGAACCGCCGCAGACTCTAGTAAAAAAATTTATACAATTGTTTATATTATATATATTATACATATTTAATTATATACTATAAAAGCGTTGTGAGAAGCAGCAGGATGGAAGAACGAACGCGAGTGCCGAATAAAGACTTTGTAAAAGGATCAAGTGCCCTCCGTCGAATTCGGATTGAAGGACTCAAAAAATTATAAAATTCATTTAATTAAGTGATTATTACATTAAATTAAATTAATAGACTCTGCAAATGCTCATGAGGATTTAAAAATGCGTAGGCGGGCTCAGCGGGCCGCGCGGGTCACTTTTATACTTATTATTATTGTCTTTATTTATATTATATTATATATTTTATATTATTTAATTACTTTTTATTGTTTATAGTGACGTGTCTTTGTTTTAATGAGTAAATATGGAATATCAGGTTGGGCGGTGCGCGTCTGCTGGGCCCGGGAAGGCGTGGAGTATATTTTAAACAGCACGATTGTGAGTCGTCGAGAACGGTCCCCGTGATGTTTTTTTCTTTTTTTTTTGTTATAAATGAATTTGTTAAAATCATGATTTCTTACTGTTAAGTTACATGTAGGTATAATTGTTCTGTATAATAAATATGCAGCTGCACACTTCAGTTTTAGATTTACTTTTCCGTTGGTTGATTTCGAACAAATCTGAAACTGCTTTGAGCGACTGTTGCTAGTCAGAAGTAATTCGATTCGAAATATTGTATATATTTTTTTTTAAACATATACAGTATTTTTCTGACTGATGATTTGTACATAGACTTCCTCCAAAATAAATGCGTTTAAACGAAGATTTTTATAAGTTCTATCCGTGTACATTAGTTAAAGCTGTAGATATATTATTAGTTAAATGGATTATGGATATGAGGAATAGGCCGTTTAAATATTGTTGATGAGAATCTGTGAATCCCACTTCTGATTATGGAGTTTTATCTGAACGAAACAACTTACTGTTTATCGAATCCAGCAATTTTTATATATGAGAATCATCAGATGTACAATAAAGGCAGAAAACAGAGTGTCTCTTTTATTAACTGAATTTCCGAAATTAAAAAAATAGTACCTTGGTAACAAATGTTCGTGAATCCGTGCGAAACGTGAATATCAGGGTTGAACTACATACAAAGGCCTGAACTGTATCGAGGGTGAGTATACTATTTACAAAGCTTGGAATCATTTACCGATGTGGCAGTAGCGATTCGGTGAGATGTCTATACAGGGTGTAAGTTTAAGTGGGGGTCATATTTACACAGGCTACCTTTGACCTTTAGAAACCCGTATCAATAGTTTATTTTTTTTCAAATACTGTCGTAAAAACTTAATTTTTTTTTAAACCATTTTTTAATAATTTTCCTACCCTGCCTCTGGACAAGCTAGTGATCTCAAACGTGTTAGTTGCTGTGCATGCACAATTGACAACTGGACTATGCACCGTTGCCAAATTTCAATTTAAAGAAAAGTTTATTAAAAGGGAAATTTCACATCACCCGCCATGAGGTTCTGACTGCTCTTTGGTATAATCCATCGGATGTCTTTTTTCAGTAAAATCGTTTTCTTCGGACATAAATTAGGCTCTACTCATATAGCTCTTGATGCTTTTTCATATCACTTAAAACTTGAAAAACAAAACTATACACTGTACCATCATCAAACACTGAAATAAATAACTTTAAGGTTATAGACGAGACGAGAGACGATATATTCGGCCAATCCCGTTCTGCTGAACTAATGTGGTAGTTTGTATTTAACGCATTTTGTCATATCGAAACACCAACAACCCCTTCGTAAGCGTATTTCTTACATTCTTGTAACGGTAAAACTAGGTCAGTGTTACAGGTCATTGACACCGACATTCAAAAGTAAAATATATGCTGCTTAAAAAAACAGTAACACAAATGTTTATAAAAGCTTGAACCGATTAAAAAAATTGTTCATATAATCAGATTAGTATTTTCATTTATTTTTAATTTTTTAAAACGGCAAAAATAATTATTTTAAAACACAAATAAGTTTTATTTACAATTAGTAACGTATGTACATACCTTTTTATTTTAATACGTAGTAAATCACGTAAAAATTAAAAATTGTTTAACAATTTTTCTGTTTGGCTACTCATTGACAAAAAAAAATATGACTAAAATATCACGTCATAGAAAGCAATCTGTTTTCACTAAATTATTTTTCATTAGTTTCGCTGTGTAGCAGTTGAATAAAAAAAAATTATTTACAATTAGTAACGTATCTACGTACCAATATTAGTTAATATTTAATAAATCGTGTAAATCTTTATTTTTTTACAAGTTCAGCTTTTCTACCGCAATATCAAAAAAATGTGATGGCTTTAAAATAACAAGTCCTTAAATTATACAAAAAAACTGATTTGCTAAATTATTTTTAAACTTCGCTCAATGTAGTTGGTATAAAAGCAACTGGCAACGCCGGCTGTGAGGAATACAACTTCATATGTAAATTCTGGAAGTGCTGGTTTACTGGTTCAGTGGCGGCATACACAGGAATTAAAGCACAGTTTAAAAAACTAATTATAACTCGAGTATTTATTCGATTAAAAAAAAAAAGAATTTCAGATTCGTATTCACTTAAAGTTACACTGTATAATTGTAATTATGAGAAAATTATGTGTTGAAGTAGAAACAATGAAAGAGAAAAAGATGTCAGCAGATATTCTTTATTCACAATTTGCACCACATTCCCCAGGTTTCACTATTTACAGATTTGCGGAGTTATTGACAAAAATTTGGATGTTTCGTAAGTGGACATGTCATGTAAAATCGAATTTTAAATGTGAAATAAAGAATAACTTTCAGATCGGGCTTTGTTTGGAAGATATTTTAAAAGATGTAAAACAAGACAGCTATGAAAATAAGTTTATTTATTTGACATCTTTTTTATTTTGTCATCGATGTGGTGGAGTGGCTCAATAATAATTTCAATGGGAGGTGGATTATAAGGCCATGTTCATTGCCTGCAAGATCACCGAACCTGGACCTTTTATATTTTCACCTATGGAGTCACTTAAAACAATTAGTTTATGCTGAGCCAATTGAGCAATTAGAAGATATCATTTTAAATTCAGTGCATATTCATGGCATTCTTAAACATTACTGTAGTTTTTAACGTAATAACTGTTGTTGAAATTGTGTGGTATTACAAATTGTGGAATAAAGTAATAAAGTATTTTTATAACTGAATATTTCCTAAACGAAGCCCAATCTGAAAAAAAGTTATTATTTATATCATGTTTAATATTCATTCGATTGTGCATATGACTTCATTTTGACTGTCAAGTTATGAAACGCCCGGTATAGAGCTTTCATAAATGATTACAAGCCACATGACCATTTTGAAAAAGTAATTGTATTACTTCATATTAGCAATTACATTAAAATTAAAACTCATTAAAACAAGATAAAGTTTACATTAAAACAACATTCTGTTTCACCAGCTGTATTATATTCTATTGGTGATCGCATTATGTCGAGCTTAGACGTAACGGTTTACCATTGTTCATTGTAAACAAATTAATCTGGTGATGCTAACATTTAGAGATTTTTAGTTGATTAACAATTTTAACAATAGAATTAGTAACTATAGGTCCCTGTAGGTATCTTGTTTTTGAAGGAATTATTAATGTACCAAATTTAAAAAAATCTTATAAGGTGTTGAAAGTTATTTATAAAGAATATTTTGTTTTTGTCACATTTGATGTTCTCTAGCAGCTAAATAATAGAGATAAGTTTAGTCAATTTGATCTTGGGAAGCTGCATTTACTCGGAATAATGAAACACCCTGTATATGTTAGTCAGTGGTATTGGGATCTTTTAACGATTATCTCTTCTGTGAAAACTGAAACAAACGACATTGTCAAAGATATTTGGATAGGGATTTTTCAAAATTTCCATAATATCCTATGGTTAGTCGCACTATGTAAACCAAACGGTAAAAACATTTAAAATCTGTGTTAAAATCTAATTTACTAACCGCCTAGATAGGGCGAGTGCAGCCCAGCGTATTGGCATTCATGTTTATGNGAACTGTATCGAGGGTGAGTATACTATTTACAAAGCTTGGAATCGGTTGTGGTTGTGCAGTAGGGATTCAGTGCGAAGGTATCTACAGGCTGTTACAAATTCGCTTCTCACTACAGGGTTCTCAGAAATGGTAAGAGATACGAAGTAGCTTAAATAATAATATGTCTTTATTCTCTAACAACAATGAAATTATAAAATGGGGGCAAAGTTGCGTAATCAGGGGACCAACATTATGCCTCTAAAAAATCAAGGCTAACATGATTAGTTTTCAAAATATTTGAAATAACCGAAATTATGGAAATCCGTTTTTGTTTCATTTTAGCCTTGTTTGAGGTGATATTGAAAAGAGAAGAACACTTTCTCACATGGCAACTTTTTGCCCTCTATCGAATGGCAATGAATTTTTATATGTAATGTTTCGTCTCTCCAGGACCATCATCACCTTTTTTTTTAAATACAACCCTGGAAATTTTATTACATTTTTTGCCAGCCTTCATGTCCCCCGATACTATACTGCCTCAGCTCGAACTCGATTCAGACGTTTTGTCACGAAAAATTAATCTTCAATGGATTCATTCCGAATTTATCTAATTTTTTTAAAATTCTAAATAAAAAATTTGAGATATTTGGAACGAATACATTGAAGACGAATTTTTTGAGACATCAGAATCTGGTTCGGGGTACGACAATACAGTACTGAGGGACATGACATGAAGGCTCGCAAAAAATGTAATAAAATTTCCAGGGTCGTATTTAAAAAAAAGGTGATGATGGTCCTGGAGAGACGAAACGTTACATATAAAAATTGATTATGCCATTCGATAGAGGGCAAAAAGTTGCCATGTGAGTAAGTGTTCTTCTCTTTTCAATATCACCTCAAACAAGGCTGAAATGAAACAAAAACGGATTCCTAACAAAAAAGGCTGAAATGAAACAAAATCGGATTCCTAAAATTTTGTGTTTTTTTTTTCAAATATTTCGAAAACTAATCGTAGTTTTCCAATTTTGCCCTGCCTTTTGTCTAAAGCAATCCATATTTTAAAAATAATAATTGTCCTTTGAGGAAAAAAATGGATACATTTAAACAGCTGTATTTTATACAGAGATCCAGAATGATTGAAGTGTTTGGAGATCGCAGCCTTTGCCCGTCTCTGTCAATACTACAGATTTTTATATGCTAAAGATGGTGTTAGAAACAGGCTGCGTTCCCTAAACGCTTCAAACATTCTGTTTCTTTCGGTATTTGCCTGCGATGAATATTTCATTAAGTGAAACTTTTATTGAATCGTGGAAATTCAAAACATTTTTAAATCTATCAGCACATCAAATTTGCATTACTTTTTTGTTTAATATTTTTAATAATTTTTCCATTGAACCACGAGGGTAGACCTTTGAACCAATTTTTTTCCTTGGAATACAGTCCTCAAAAATGTTATTCAGTTTGTCATAAAAAGCGTCTAATGCATAATTTGGATTAGTGTATTCATTAAGGAAAGACCAGTTAGTATTGAAAATAATATCGTACAAAACGGGAAAATTTGCTTTTTTGAAATTAGTCATTTTGTTGCTTCAAAGGAAAACTTTCTTTTTTTGTGTATGTATTAATATTGATAACAATAGCTGGATGATAACGGTCCTCAGTAAGAATAATATCATGGGCCCTATCTACAATAGCATCTATGCTTTACAAAAGTATAGTTCATATACATCGTTGGATTCAGAAAATAAATAACAAAAAAACTATATTGCCATTTGAAAAAAAAAGTTGGCTTCAAAGAAAAATAGTAAATGAACTGTAATAGGCTTGCTTTATAGTGCCATTTTATTTAATTTTTTGTTTTTAAAAATCAGACTATAACCGCAAGCATGGTTGGTTGGTAACCGAGTTATGGCTTACGGCGTTTTTTAGGAGCCTGTATATTATAGAGCTTTCAGAAATGATTACAAGTCCATTAATGACCATTAATTTTGTTTGGAAAAGTAATTTTATTTCGTTTGTGTTGGCAATGAAATTTCCGTAACATTAAAACGATAAGATCAAGATTACATTAAAATGCAACATTTTATTTCACCCACTAATTGCATTATCTCGAGCGTAAACATTTGGCGACACCAAGATTTAGTGGTTTTTAGTTGACGGTACTAGCCATGCAATGTTGGTTCCCTAAGCTCATCAGTCACGTGGTTTGTAATCATTTATGAAGGCTATGTATGTTTTAATTACTCACGAAATTTACTATTACTTTTCTAAAACACATTTTAATTTGATTACAAAATGCGATGGAAAATTTACACCCTGACGTCTGTAGGAAGATTTAACAATAGAATTAGTAGTCTATACAGGGTGTTTATTAAGTATTTTTACAAACTTTAAAGTGGTAGTCTGACTAATTTTAAGATAAAAAGTTTATATGAGCATGGATCCACAACGGCTTAATTCTTAAGATACAGAGCCTCCAAAAAAAGAAATAAATTGTTTGCTATTTTGAATATATTTTTGTTGAATAATATAATATGGCTATTTAATGAAATTCGGGAGTATTGATAAACTCAAATATTTACTTAGTTTTTTGTTTAATGTTAGAGGGGGCCACATACGGTGTTGTACCTGGATTTAAATAACCATAACTTTTTTGTGTTGCACTGTATGTTATTTTTGATGAAACACATCTATTCTAAATTCAATTTCATGTACAAAAGGTACTTTTAGTATTTATCGTTGAAAGCAGCCGTTTTGTAAAAAACGAGTTTAAAATTAAACCTGCGTTGGGATTTTGTAACTTGAATCATTAAGAGTTTTTGAAAAACAAGTGAAAAAGAGTCATATCACTACAAATTACTGTCATCAAATTATCATCTTTCCTCTGCAGCGGCAGGACACAGAAAACAGTAGGTACATGTATAGCAAGCTATCCATGACAATTTTTTTTTGTTATTTTGTGTTAAAAGTAATAATTTATTGTGTCGTGTTCAAAATGTTCAATAATTATTTTATTTTGGATGCCCTGTATGTCAAAAACCAAGCCGGACCCATGTTCATATGAATTTGGAAGTACTTAATAAACACCCTGTATAAGTGAGTTGTTTTTGATGGAATTATTAGTTTATTATTAATTACCAAATTTCAATAAAATCTTAAAAAAGTTATTTGTAAAGAATATTTTGTTTGTCAACTTTGATGTTCTCTAGCAGCTAAATAATAGAGGTAAGTTTAGTCAAATGTGGTTATTTTGATTGCGGGAAGCTGCATATACGCGGAATATCGAGACACCCTGTATATGTTAGTCGGTGGTATTTTGTGATCTTTTAACGATTATTTCTTTTGTGATAAAATAAAAGAACTATAAATGACCATCGACTGAAATAAACAACATTGTTAAAAATATTTGGATATTTCAAAATTTCATACAGTTAGCGGCAGTACGTAAACAAAACAGTGAAAACATTTAAAATCTGTGTTAAAATCCAATTTACTAACCGCCTAGATAGGGCGAGTGCAGCGTCTTGGCATTCCTGTTTATGTCACTGATCTGAAAAGTCGAGGAACGGTGATCGAGGTCAGAGTTGCCAGATGAGACGATCTATCCCCATTGTGGCGACACAACTTACTCGAATGTCTCTCAAAAATTTCACGTAACGATTTTTTGGCGGTTTTTAATATAAATGTGGCAACGAGCTCTTTGACTTTGTTAAATTTCTAGTCGGTGGTAGAATTATTTATATCTCTGATGTCGCTTGTTTTTCCATTACATAGTAACGATATTTATGGAAATTCGGACATATTTGATTTTTAAAATTAAAAAAATTAAAGTGGTGCCACCTAACATAATATTTTAACAACGTTCCCTTTTATTTCAAACCGATGGCGACTTTTTGCTACTTTATTTTCATCTAGTGGCGATGATAAACAAAATTTTCCAGGCACTCTGATTGCGTTTAATACTTGGATGACAATCCGGGGAAGGCTCGAGATGCTCGTCTACCTTCTAGTGGCCTGCATGTGAATGTATTCACAGAAGCTGTAAAATTTATTCGAGCTTATAAAGGATGTAAAACCGTTGGTCCCTTGTCCAAACAATGTTAAGACAAGTGAAAGATCCACATCCTACGACAATGTGGGGGTTTGGCAAAGTTTCCAGGTTGGGACTCGTTTGTTTCCTAACGTCGGTATTTAGCCATAGTAGCAGAAATAGGCTGACATAAAAATAACCAAAAAGCAAAATACAAAACCACTTAAAAAAGATTGGAAAAGTTTTGCGATAGGACATCATCAAAGAAATGAAATATTACCGTCTCAAAAANGGAAATTCGGACATATTTGATTTTTAAATATTCTTCACCCTAAAAAAATTAAAGTGGTGCCATCTAACATAATATTTTAACAACGTTCCCTTTTATTTCAAACAGATGGCGACTCTGCTACTTTATTTTCATGTAGTGGCGATGATAAACAAAATTTCCCTGGCAACTCTGATTGCGGTTAATACTTAGATGACCATCCGGGGAAGGCTCGAGATGCTCGTCTACCTTCTAGTGGCCTGCATGTGAATGTATTCACAGCAGCTGTAAAATTTAATAGAAGTTTGTATAGGATGAGGCACCATATCTAGGAAAGAATGCAAAACTGTTGGTCCCTTGTCAAGACAAGTGAAAGATCCACATCCCACGACAAAGTGGGGGTTTGGCAAAACTTTCCAGGTTGAGGCTTGTTCGTTTCCGGGCATCGGTGTTTAGCCATAGTAGCAGAAATAGACAGATAAAAATAACCAAAAAGCAAAATACAAAACCACTTAGATAAGATCGGAGAAATTTGGCGATAGGACATTATCAAAAAAATGAAATATTACCGTCTCAAAAAAAAGGCTTATTAAATCTTCCAATAATAAATAATTTATTATATAATAATAACTTTACAATATTAAAATATGTCCTATCTATATTTACAGCAACAGGTTCTCGCTACTGGTACTTAAGTTAGGCAAAGACTTGAAAACACAGCTGTTGCTCTTAACCACCTCAGTCTTTAAGGAGCTCTGCAGGGAATATTTCTTCTTGCTGTTAGAAGGGCACTCAATATCTAAAGCTAGGATATTATTTCGTGACGAGTCGTCCTGGGAGCTACGTACATCCGCCTCGTTCCGGGGCGTCTCGCACAGGTCCTCGACATGCACGTCCGCCTTCTGGATGGACGAGGCGCTGCTGTTGCAACACTTGACCTAAGCGGCCAATACGAAACGGTTAAAACGGGGACGAAACATGATCCAGTTTAAGGAGAGTACTCACCTTACACTCGTTCTCGAAGACGTAGCACAGCTGCAGGTCGTTCTGCGAGTTGGAATTGGTGTTGGAGGAGGGCTGGTTGTACTCGGCGATCGTCACCACCTGCGTGGGCACGTGTTGCCTGCTTTCCCTGTGGAAGTACGGCGAGGGGGGCACGGCGTTGGCTTTTTCGGGGGCATTCTGCACTAGGATGATCCTGGAGAAAGCAAATGACATGAGTACACGAGTACATCGATTTGTTTTATAATATTTGTGTTAATACAAATTAATAGCAGTTTCACAGTTCTGATTTTGATGCGATATTTATTTATGAAGAAAACCCAACTGTAAAATTAATAAATACCTTGAGATACAAAAATATATGTAAGTAACAATAAAATTACAATAAAAAGAAAAAAGAACACAAATACAAACAAAGCTGTTAAAAATGTAAAAAAAAAACTATTTGTCATGAATTAATGAAGAAACAGAGCAAAATAGGAACACATGTAGATATAAATAATAAAACGGTAACAAAAAAAAGGACAAATAACCAAACGACTAATTATATTAAAAAAATATGTACATAATTATCGATGAATGATGTATACATATTTTTCTTTAATAATTATATTTCAATTTTCCGAAGAAAATGTGTAAAGTGCTCAAAAAAATAGGCCCATATAACAATTTTGGAAAAGGTCAATTTAGAAAGAGGAACAAAAATTGTGATTTCAGCTTTTTTTCCGTTTTTAACATGAAAAAATGTAAAAAATTTATTGAATGTTGTGTGCATATTCCAGATGATTAGTTAGTCATGCAAATGTACCATAAATAAGATTTTTATTTATCGCTTTAATGTGCACGCTGTTACTGAAACGCTCGTTAAAATTAATCCTCAAATAATTAGCATGACGTACATTTTTATCATTCCTATAAAATTTTTTTTTTTACATAATCTACAGGAAAAATTAACTCACCTATTATGGGCTTTCCACCTAGAAAACAAATGTAAGTACTGTCTGCATTGTATGTACATAAAAACGGCACCTCCCGTGAATCCCACGGCAACTACCACAAGTTTAGTCCAGAACGGCCAAGCTGCAAATTAATGTGATTAAAACTGGCACTTAGAAAGGGCAAAGGGTAAAAAAATATATATTTCAAATCTAACTCGTTAAAAAAATTATGAATATGAAACGGAAGTAATCTTGCATCCTTCATTAATTAAATCGCCCAATAAAACTATCATGAAGTGTGTTCATACAGTGTTACAATAGGCATTTAAACAAAAGTGTTATAAATCTCAAAATTCTATTTACATTATAAAAGTTTTACGATATCTCCAATATTATTAATAACAATAACACTGATAACAGGTCGTCGACAGATGAAATTTAAATAATCTGTAAACAATTTGTTTCAAAACTGTTACTATCAGAAACAAAAATCTTTTAATCTGAAAATTGCTCAATAAAAGTTTTTCTCTTTACCTTATACATGGTTAATCTATTTTTTTTTATTGTAAAGTAATCTTATGGTGCGTAATCTTTTTCATTATATGCATTATGACAGTTATTTATTAGTCCGTATAATGTTACGTGGCCCAGTTTCCTACCTATTAATCCTTTCTGTACCTCCTCGGCAGCTCTATCTATCAAAACAAACAAAGACCAAACCACACAGATTGCAGCGACAAAATGGAACAAAATGGCGCAAAGCAATCTTCGCCTTTCCACACTACTCATTTCCAAAATTCTCCACTGAAAATAAACAAATATAAGGGCATTTTTTAAATGTAATACTCTTACTGTCCACTATATGTAGGAATTATTACTTGTTCTAACGTATGGTATACTACTCTTAAAAATAAATTTTAACAATACAATTATAACATTATCTCAGAAAATACAAATATATAAGTATTAACTAATTCAAAATGTAGTATACTCACCTCTGAGAACGGTTTGATTTTAGTATGCAGGATGAAGTTGAACTTGCACAGCTCGCAGGACCTGATGTCCGAAGCGGCTAGCCATTGTCGAAGGCAAGCTTGGTGCACATACTTCAAGCTTCCCGAGCAGTAGCATGGAGACAGCAGGGGATTCTCGGCATCAGCTTCGCAGTGGCATATCCTGCATATATCTCCAGTCGAGTTGGACAGATTGGAGGACGAGTCCCAGTCTTGGTTTTTCACAGAGCCAGTAAAAGCCGTGGTAGGAACGTTCCCTGTGTTTTCCTTGACTTTAATGAACTGTTGAGGCATTTCATTAATAAAAAATAAGATCGGAGATGTCAAAATTTATGTAACTATTTTTCTAAGATTCATCGGGACGTCCGTGTTTAATTGATTTCACAAAACATTTACGACCACTATAAACCCACATAAGATATGGATAAACATTTGGCTCGGTAATAAGTACAATAACAACCAATGCCTTATCAATTTATGATAAGAACATCACTGACAACTGTCAAACGTCATATGTCAGAAGCAGCTGGCCGATGACAGTGAATGTCATCTGACAATAGTGTAATGTCAAAAAAGATTTCAAACAAATTAATTCCTAAGTAATTGCCCCATAATTTATTAATTTTGCATATTTATAGCAAACAATTTAAATACAGAAGTAAAATTGAATTAAACCTTCATTAAAAGTTGGTGGTTAACCTTGGTTTAAAACATTGTAGATGGCGTAAACTTCGTAAACTACAGGAAACGGGAATATTTGTGTTATTGATTTTTAATATTTTTTACATATAAACACAACAGGACGTAAATTAAGTTTCCGGAATACATAATTCTGCTAGTGGAAGTTCATAAGTTTATAATGAGTGCGGGAGTGACCGAAGAATTAAGGAAACGCGCTACTAAAGCGACAGAATCAGAAAATGTAAGTAAATTCTCCAAATCAACCTAAGGCTGAAGAAGATTTTACTCATGCATAATAATTTATGAAGAAAAAATATTTTATTTATTTGGAATGTATGGACTAATACCTATGTATCGCCGTAAAATTTTAATAATCTGCAATTAATCAGAAGAATATTGCTGACATAGTTAAAAAAATGTCATTGCAACATTAAACCAATTAAACCTGTTTTATTAATAGTAATTTCATTAATATTGTCTTCTAGAAGTTAATTAACGTTAGCTAACTATTAATACAAAAATTATTTATAAATATGTGTAGGCTATCTAGAAATAATTAGTGTTTTAGTCTCTAATGGGTAGATAAATACCTTGCATAAATATAATAAATGTCTTGACTTAGTGACTCAATATTGATAAATAGAAAAAAAAACATAGGACAAAGTTCACAATAGGTATCCCTTAATACTTGCAACATTGAAAATATAAAATTTAAAAGTACATATTTCTGATTTCTTTTACCAATTCATCTTTGAAATTATAATAATTAGTACTAAATTAAACAGAGCATGATATCAATTTAGGCTTTCTACTTCCACATGTTCAAAATTTAATATGCATGTAAGTATGTATGGTTAATCTACAGAAAATAAAAGTTTTACAGTAACACCTTTACTTGCACAAATTAGTTACTAAAAATAAATTGTAAAATCATATTTACCAGTAATGTCAACGTAATTACGTGTATAATTTTCATTAACCTTGATAATTTTCCTGTAAATAATACTTTTGTTTACAGTAACATATTTATGCCAATATTATTTTGCAACGGCATTGTTTAATAGCTGTAAATGATATTGTATCGTGAGTCGTGACCTGTGCACTATCGTAATTGTCGATTATTGTAATCGTTCTACCTTTGCATCAACATTATGTGTGATTTTACAGGGCGAATCTCACAAATTGGGAAGTGCAGAATCCAACAGCAGCAGGGAGAATCTCCAGTCAAATCTGAGAGACAGTGAGGTAGGTCAGGGGAAACAGAACAACTGGTTTTATGGTACGGTAATATAAATCAATGTCAAATGATTTATTAAAAAAAAGCCTTAATCAAATTGTTTATTCAGTTTAATCTATTAAGAATATATACAAGTGCATAACTTTTTTCTTGAGTAGAAAAAAATGTAAAAACTTCATTGTACTGTAATAATTTAGATCGACAGCGAAGATGACAAAATGGGACGTAAGGGCAGCATTGACTTGTCCGGGTCTATTCCATCTGGCACAGACAAAGCTCCCAGCATCCTAGACCAAATGCTGCAGGACTTGCCGGACAAATGGCGCAATTGGGTTGTAAGGGGCATTTTCAGCTTTTTGATGCTTGTATTTTTTTTTGTCGTTATATATGGGGGACCCCTAGCTCTGATGATAACTGTAAGTGAAAACGTTGATCGGATTTTAATTTGTTTCATGCATTTGTTGCATCTTTTAGACCTTGGTGGTTCAAGTGAAGTGTTTTCAAGAAATCATCAACATAGGCTATTCGGTGTACCGCATACACGGTCTACCCTGGTTCAGGTCTCTTTCATGGTACTTCCTGATTACCTCGAATTATTTCTTCTATGGGGAGAGCCTGGTGGAGTATTTCGGCGTTGTAATCAACAGAACAGTGAGTTTAGTAGTTAAACTATTTAATTGAATGATTATTTAATAATGCATGAATTCAAATCAGTTTTTTCTATTGTTATCGCAAGAATGTTAATTGATTGATGACTCAGAAGGTTATCGCTATGTTGTGGTAAAGGTTAAGGAAATAACTCGGATAAGGAACGATATTTAAAAACTATTTCCTCTTAAAATAGCTTTTTATCAACACAAACTTTAATAATAATAAGGATGTTATCAAAATGTTTTGCTTCCTATTTTTTTTTATTTTGACTCATTTTTTATCCATACAGGGTGTCCCGATTTATAGATGTACAGGTAACGTGAGGGCCAGATATAATTTTCAGTATGTCTTATAATTTTGAAAAAAACTACAAATTTTCAGGACTTCCTACGTGTTTTGGTAACCTACCATAGGTTCATCTCGTTCTGCCTCTACTGCGGAGGTTTCGTCCTGTTCGTGTTGAGCCTCGTGAAGAAATACTACATGAAACAGTTCTCTCTGTTCGCTTGGACTCACGTAGCCCTCCTTATCGTCGTGACGCAGTCCTATCTCATCATCAAGAACATCTTCGAGGGACTCATCTGGTTCATAGTGCCTGTATCTATGATAATCTGTAACGACATCATGGCGTACGTGTTCGGCTTCTTCTTTGGAAAGACGCCTCTGATCAAATTGTCACCGAAGAAGACTTGGGAGGGGTTCATTGGGGGCGGCATATCGACAGTCTTTTTTGGGTTTGGGGTGAGTAGGAAGTTTTTGATTTAGTATATTTTAATTTATAAGAATTATACAGGGTGTAATAATGATAAATGAAATACACAAAAATAAATAGTTTGTTGATGGCTTCCAGCCATTAAATTGAATTTAAAAACTAGTGCCATTTTTGATGGCTAGGTTGACGTTACAGGTTGTTGACATTGAGATTCACAAATTAATCAGCGCTTTAAAAAAATAGTAATGAACACTTTTTATTAAAAACCTGAAATGATTTTAAAGAATTTTAATTTTTTATTAGGTATGTTCATATAAAATTAAAAAATTTATTTTAGAGCATAAACAACATTTTGTTTTATTCTATCTCTTGCCATATCCACTATTTTGAATTTTGTAATTCCGACTTCAGATTCGTAATCAGCGACCCCAAAAACTCGAACTAATGAAATTTTTTTTTATCTTATTGAGTATTCACCTGATTCTCAATTTCCGAATATCGACAAATACACCAAACTAATCAATTTGAACAAACGATTTCTCAAAAGGAAAAGAAAATATTTAAACGATTCAGAATGGATTTTGAAGTGGAAGAGCAAGACAGTCCATAAAATATTTGTTGAGATAGAATTCCAAGAAAATAATAAGCCAACAAAGTTCTGTTATCGGACCTACTGTAACAATTTACCGCAGCAGGGGCTTGCCTTGTAATTTTCTTCCAATATCTTTGTACCTCAGGTGTCAAATGGGATGCAGGGGTCTTCTTGGAATTTTATCGCAACAAATATCGAACATAGTGTACTTTGAGATGAAATAAGGAGTTTTCTAGGAAAAATTACCTTGAGATGTAACATAACCTTAAATATATTGAAAAACACTCGTTTTTCGCACATTTAGGTTGGGATATCTCGGAAACCCGACGTGGTGGAGTAATTCTGAGGTCAAATTCAAATTGAGCACATCAAAAACTGGCGAAATAGCATAAATTGCTTTAGTTTTTAATATTAATGTACACTATATTTTTTTAGATTTCATACATAATGTGCCAGTACCCGTATTTTGTGTGTCCCATCGAGTATAGTGAAACACTGGGTAGGATGACGATGGAATGCGAGCCAGGAATTCTTTTCCGACCAACCAATTACAAATTACCGGAGTTCTTATGTGGATTTTTGACTATGGTGGGTCATACAGACCGACTAATATCTTACTATCAATTTACTGTTTTATTATTTATTTTTTTCTAGTTTGGACTACCCGACAGCATATCATTGTACCCGTTCATGCTCCACTCCCTCTCGCTCTCTATCTTCAGCAGCGTAATTGGACCATTTGGGGGATTCTTTGCTTCCGGTTTTAAAAGGGCGTTCAAAATTAAGGTAGAAGTACAAACGATATAACAAACTACTTTCATATCTAGCTTTTCTCTCCACGTAGGACTTTGGCGATGTTATTCCGGGACACGGGGGCATCATGGACCGTTTCGATTGCCAGTTCTTGATGGCGACATTCGTCAACGTCTACATCAGCAGCTTCATACAGACGGATAGTCCCCAGAAGCTGCTCTCTCAGGTGCTGTACCTGAAGCCAGAACAGCAGCTGCAGCTCTTCCACATGCTGAAGGAGAATTTAGGGAACCGTAACATTCTAGCCCCCGAGGTGTAATCGAATATTGATGTTTCCGTATCATAAGGCTATATATATATAAAGAGCTATTTATTTATTTGTGCCATCAGTGTTAGAGACATATATATTTTTACGTTAGAGTAATTTATTTTCGGTAGGTCTTCTCAACCCTATTTATTGATCTCGGTTGTGTTTCGTTTCGATCGGACGTCGTTGGTGATTTAGGTATGTGTACCTATGGGGCATATCAGGAGGGGGATGTAAAACAGGTGACAGTCGAGGATGTAGGAAATTGGTCTATGGAATAAAGGATAATTGTATTGACGATGTAATCGAGTCATAAAAATATCTAGTCACGAAGACGAGTGGAAAATGACGTTCTGACACTATTTTACATCTCTTTGTTCTCTATTGGGTCATTTATGTATTCTATCTCCGTTTTGATGCCAGTGCTCTTCGAGTCTGTTCTGTTCAAGAAGTTGTGTTATGGGACCAAGTTGTACCGTCACAGGCGACCTTATTCGGATTAAGTTTTTGGGCCTTCGAACCGGATTTTTTCCCTGCATCAAATTCTTTACTGAGTTAAATAACTAAATTTTCTACCATTTACCTTTGCATTCGTCATAGAATATATAAATGATGTTCGTGTATTCTACAGGGTATTTATCTACAGAGGTGACCTCTTTCCGGGCATGTCAATTTTACTGTAGAATCGGTCTTTTAACAGCAATAAATCTTACAAAAATATCAAAATGTTGCCACTGAGAATACAACTCTTTTTTTTCTGGTTTACGAATTGAATTTAAATATCTTAGGTAGATAAATGTTATGAAGTAATATGACCTTTAATGTAACGTTTCGTCATTCTTTTATTGGTGGTCGAGGGATGAAAATGAACGTCTTTGGTTCCTATATATTTTGGGGAAGTACTAGTGCATTAAAAAAAAAATGGAAGCTTGAAATGTAAATTAATCTTTTTTTATGCATAAGTAATTTTGTATACAGGGTGGCACAAAAGTATGGAAACCCCTGAATAACTCTTCAGGAGTGCATTTTCTTGAAAAATGATATTTCCAAAAGTTTTAGGATTTTTCCCTGGCTATTCAATGGCGCCCTTGTATTCGACCTTGACCTTGACCTTCGAGGTCATATCAAGGTCAAAATTGTTTTTTCAAATGGGAACCCCTATTTTTTATTGCGGATTTGGAAAGAGCAGGAAATTTTATGTCCAAAATTGGTCTTGACCATAACTTTGACAATTATCTTGCTTTTTCCAAATCCACAATAAAAAATAGGGGTTCCCATTTAAAAAACTTAACTTGACCTTCAAATGATCTTGAAGGCCTATGTCAAGGTCAAATCCAAGGTCATCATCAGATAGCCAGGGAAAAATCCTTACACTTTTGACTGAAACATTTTTTCCCAAAATCCATTCTTCGAAAGTTCTGCCGTACTAGGACTTTTAGAAGTCGACCCACATTTGACCTTGAAGGTCATTGTCAAAGTCACGGTCAAGACCAATTTTGAACGTAAAATTTCCTGCTCTTTCTAAATCCACAATAAAAAATAGGGGTTCCCATTTGAAAAATCAATTTTGACCTTGAACTGACCTTGAAGGTCAAGGTCAAAGTCGAATACAAGGGCGCAATTGAATTGCATGAAAATGCACTCCTGACGAGTTATTCAGGGGGTTTCCATACTTTTGTGCCACCCTGTATAATTGTTATTGTTTGTTTCACATTTTTTTGTAATATTTGGAATATTACAGAAATGTGAGGTTTATATAATATACAGGGTAAGTTCTTTTCCAGTCGTAAGTAATTTTGATTGATATCTCAAAAATTCTTCATAGAAGTCGGAAACGGTCCTTCGGCAAATATTTTTGGGATTTCGATTTCAACGCCCTGTATATAAAGTGATTTGTGAGCATTTCAAGTGGAAAAAGTTGTTTATACGATTGTTCCTGTAAATACCTTTACGCAATACATAAATTTTATATAATGAAGAGAGTTTTAAGAAACAAATGCATTTATCGATATAAACTAGGTGTTAAATCTTCCTATATCATGCATTACCCAACGTAGACACGATTGATGTAATCTTGATGTAAAATTATAACAATAAATTATTAAAGTCAGCCGCTGGTTTCATTCACCGATTATCCGATTTTTATAATTCGGTGTACCACAGGGATCGGTTCGGAGACCACTCGAACTCAGAATGAAAGTCTTGATAAAAAATACAAAACATTTTAATAAAGTTATTAAAAAATTAATAATCACATGGTTACCTATACACTAATCATCGTAAAACAATTAAAAAAATAAATTATAGAACATCTCTACCTATAAAAAAAAGTGGTAACTCTAGTATGTACAATATATTGGTATTTGACAGTCACGGGCGATACGGCCAGATCCGCATGGATACTAGCTGTTCGATATTGTGCAAACGCAACAGCTAGGGAACCAAAAGACATCTGTGTAGAGTTGGTCGCCCCCGCCTTCTAGAGCTACGAGTCTCTTCTGGACGTACTTTTGCTCGCAGCGGGACGAATAGCCCTGCGGGAGGCTGCAGATTCCGTTGCAAGTCTGAGACCTGCGAGAGAAAGTGTCAACATTAAATATAGTGTTTTGTGTTTCGCATTCTGTAAATGTGACAAATATAGACCATATAGTTTTTTGGCGAAAAATCCGCTAATGAGGTTAACTATAGCTTTGTTCCAGGTGCAGTCCAAAACAGTTTCCAACAGTCATTTCAATTTATGCTTATACAGGGTGTTCTCAAAGTTGAGTCATTTATTTTAACAGCTCATAAAAGCTCATAAAAAAAGTTGATTTATCAAAAATCGTTTATATAAAAGTTGTCAAATAAAGCAATTATTATTAACCATTATTTAAAAAAATTGAAATTTAAAAACTTTCTAATACAAACCTGATTTATTGTCATTTTCGACCACTCCATTGTAAAAACATAAATTGTTTGTTTACTACTGATACTGGGTATGTCTTTTTTTTTGTAGTTGCACGGTTTTGAGTATACTTCTCGATTTGACAGTGCTAAATAATTCGTACAGTAGTGTGATATTATTTTTGATTTGTGGGTGTTTTTGTGCAATAAAATTGTTTATGAAAACAATGAACTAGTCGATATATTAACTTACGGGAAGTGTCAACAAAATGCAGCCGCAGCATGTCATTTGTAGGCGGAAAAGTTTCTTTTACAAAATCATCCGGCTCCGCGGATGTTTTTAAATTTAGTTATAAGATAAAAAATTGTTTGTTTACTAACATGGATCTAGTTTTTGAAAATTTCTAAAATTTCTTCCTCGATCTCCACTATTTCGCGTGACCTCCTCTTTGTTCCTTTAAATACCCTGTGTAGTAGAGTGTAATAACTAAATTTACCAACATCCACGGAGTCGGATCATTTCGTAAAGGAAACCTTTCCGCGTACAAGCGACATGCTGCGGCTGCATTTTGTTGACACTTCCCGTAAGTTAATATTATGTCCACTAGTTCATTGTGTTCATAAACATGTGCCATTTTTATTGCACAAAACACCCACAAATCATAAATAATATCACACATTATTTAGCACTGTCAAATCAAAAAGCGTACTCAAGACCGTGCAACTACAAAAAAAAGACATACCCACTATCAGTAGCAAACAAACAATTTATGTTTTTACAACAGAGTGGTCGAAAATGACAATAAATTAGGTTTGTATTATAAAGTCTTTAAATTTCAATTTTTTTAAATAATTGGTAATAAGTGCTTTATTTGACAACTTTTATATAAACGATTTTTGGTAAATCAACTTTTTTTACGAGTTCTACCAGCTGTTAAAATAAATGACTAAACTTTCAGAACACCCTGTATAAGGTTCAAAATTCACTATTTCGAATATAAAATGCTATTGCTTTTGACTGTTGAAAACCGTTTTGGACTACACAAGTTACTCGATTTGGCCAATTTTGTCAAACCAACAAACAGTACTTCTAACGATACAAATTTAATTTTAATTTCCAAATAACCGACTCGATATAGAATCACGTATTCAGCACAACAACACGGGAAACGAATACTTACACGCACACCTCGCTCTTGACTTGCTGAGTGTACCGGCTGTCGACTTCGGGCATGTTGACGACATACATCCAGTTGCCCTTGTTGTTGAGGGCCGCCTTGGGCATTATGTACTGAGAACGGGACCGGCACAGGGGCTCGTCCGTCAAGGTGCTCTGCCTCTTCGTTCTCTTGCCAGTGGATGTGCCGTTGGTGTAGGTGCCCGATTCGATCGTTTGTAATACTGTTTGTTGAGATCTTCTGTGCCTCAGCGACCGCTTCAGTCTTTCGTAGTTGTTTTCCACTCTTCTGCAAAACAAAGATTGATGAAAATAATTATCCTGATAATCTGTATGAGGATATTCATAAAACAACTATTTTAGACCAGGACGGATTTGTCGAAATATCCCACTTTTTGAATGTAAGAGCGGGCAAGCAAATTTTTGGTGGAATACCTTCAGTACAACAAACATAATAAAAGTGTAGATCCCTAGATCTAGGCCGAGGTCCGGAACATTTTCAAAATTGCAAAAATGTTAAAAAAATACCTATTTTATCTGAGTTTTTTACTTACATCTTGAAATCTATGCATTTTGGAAAAATATTGAAGAGGAAAAAAGTTTTAGAATTGAATTTTGCACAATATACTGTAAGTTAAAAATGTTTAAATTTATTACCGATGTTGCAAAATAGCAATAATTGATGGAAAAAAGGCAAAAAAGGAAATAATCAAGTTTTTTGTATAATCTTTTAAAAATATTTTAATTGCCCCAAGGGCATTCTAATTTCGGTAAAAAAACTTTAGAGTATAATAAAACAACACACCAAATTTCATTAAAATCAGTTCGATAGTTTTCACAAAATAATTTTTTGGAAAAAATTTTGAAAAAAAAATTTGGAATTTTCAAAATGTTGCACAGCCTCTAATAAAGCATCTAGATACTTGATAACTTTTTTCACATAGAATACCGCTCAACCTTTCAAATGGTTTTTGAAAAATTGAAATCGGTTGATTAGGAGGCCACAGTAAATTTTTAAAGTTAACACTCTTTTTTTTAATTGTAAACAATTAGATTACATTTATCAATTTGCAATTTAGTTTCTTTCAAAAATTATAATTTTAAAGTACTCGGAAAGACACTTCTTTTTTTTAAAAAAAAGTTAAATTCTGTTTATTGGATCTCGAGATATAAGCGGTGAAAGTTTATCGGCATTTACCGTTAATTTATAAACAATTTAGCAATAATCTTTGATCTAGTGGCTCCGTTTTTCCGAGTTTTAAGCTGGAAAAAATTTTCATATCCTTAAGTTATCGGCAACATAGATAAATCAGCGGAAAAACTGTCGCTCGCACGCACAAAAAGTGACTCAGAACACGAAAAGTGGGGTAGGGGGCTTTCGTCACAGAAGATAAAACAATTTTGCTCCGAGACTGAATTCGGATGATCAAAATGCGAAGATACGAAAAAAAATGCATTATCTCGGCTTCTAATGGACCAATTTCCATCTTTTTTCCGATGTCTCGCGAGCCAAGGAATTCGAACATCGTAATGCCAACTGTAATTTGCACGTATTTTGTAATAAACAAAGTTTATTGTTTATGCATTAAATATACTGTATATTTTACCCTAGGCCATTGGATTTTTTCAATGAAAAAAATTATTTATGTACATATATATTTCAACACAGAAATATAAATGTTTTTAGTTGTAATTATTACAATTATTTAAATAATTTTTGTTTAAACAAATTTAAAAAAAAATATTTGGAAATTAATTTTTTTGTTAAATACAGATAAAATTAAGAAACAATAGTAAGTACTTTAAAATTATAAATTTGAATAAAAATAAATTGCAAATTAATAATTGTTTAAAAATAAAAAAAGAGTTAACTTTAAAAATTTACTGTGGCTGTCCTAACCAACCGATTTCAATTTTTCAAAAACCATTTGAAACTTGAGCGGTCTTTTCTACGTGAAAAAATTTTCAAATATCTAGATGCTTCATTTGAGGTTGCACAGCAATTTGAAAATTTGAAAGTTTTTTTCAAAATATTCAAAAAATTATTTTGCGAAAACTATCGAATCGATTTTAATGAAATTTGGTGTGTTAAATATACTGTATATTTGCTAATGCAATTTTTCAATGAAAACATTTTTTTTACGTATGTATTTCAACATTCAATATGTATGTATTTAGTTATAATTATTACAATTATTTAAATAATTTTTTTTTAAACAAAAAAAATTTTTCTATTTGGAAGTTAATTTTTTTGTTAAATACAGATAAAATAGTACTATACAATTACAATTTTTGAAAAAAAACTAAATTGCAAATTGATAAATATAATCTAATTGATTAAAAATTAAAAAAAAGAGTGTTAACTTTAAAAATTTACTGTGGCAGTTCTAATCAACTTTCAATTTTTCAAACATTTGAAAGGTTGAGCGGTCTTTTCTATGTGAAAAAATTTTCAAGTATCTAGATGCTTTCTTTGAGGCTGTGCAACATTTTAAAAATTCGAAAATTTTTTCAAAATTTTTTTTCAAAAAATTATTTTGCGAAAACTATCAAACCGATTTTAATGAAATCTGATGTGTTGTTTTATTATACTCGAAAGTTTTTTTTTTTACCATAATTAGAATGCCCTCGGAGCAATTAAAATATCTTTAAAAAATTATCCAAAAATCTTGATTTAGCCTTTTTTTCATCAATTATTGCTATTTTGCAACATCGGTAATAAATTTAAACATCTTTAACTTACAGTATATTGTGCAAAATTCAATTCTAAAACTATTTTTCCTCTTCAATATTCTCCTAAAATGCATAGGTTCCAAGGTATATGTTAAAAACTCAGATAAAATATGTATTTTTTAAATTTTCTAAACATTTTTGCAATTTTGAAAATGTTCCGGACCTCGCCCAGATCTAGGGATCTATACTTTTATTATGTGATTGTACTGAAGGTAATCCAAAAAAAAATTGCTTGTCCCCTCTCACATCCACCTCAAAACAGATCCGGTCTATTTAGATTACACAAATTTTTATGATTGCCATTTGGTTTAATAAATGCTCCAAGATCTATAAATGAAGTTCGATCACCCTAACATCTCGCAATATTTTTAATAGTTTGAAAAAAAAAACGATTACAAAATATTAAATTAATTTTTAATCGTTACTATAATATTATTAAAATATGCTTACCTTTTCCAAATATTGTTGTTATACTGAGCAACCTGAGGCCCAACGTCGTAGTAAGCAGGGGGTTGGTACTCCTGAGACGAGTAGCTCCTGGGGGGTATATCGTTACTGTATTTATAATTCAGGAGTTGCCCGCTTCTGCCCGGTTGCTGCTGGTATGAGCTCTTCCTATCCGGATACCCTCCAAAACCGTTGGTATAGTTCTGGCCAGGTGCTACTTTCGGTGGGATGTACCATTGTCCGTTGTCCTGGAAGGGGTGCTGAGGCTTGGGTATGTAGATCGGTTCGGGATAGTAACCCTCTGAAGGGACGACGTTATTAGGGCTGTAGTTGGGAGGGCCGTACACCGTACTCGGGGGAGGATAGAAGTAGGCGGTGAAGTCTTCCTTGGTTTCGCTGCTCAGGAGGGTGGTGTGGTCGTATCGCCATTTTTGAATGAGATAGTGGATCAGCTGTCTGAAAAAGAATTTACTATAGTACGTGTATAATTATACTTTTTTAATTTAGTAAAAAATATGCTGAAGATAATATGTAAAAAAATAACGAAAGCTTACATTATTAAAATTAATAATAATAGTATTTTTAAATTATTTGTATTTATCGCGATTATTCTCTATTTTAATACGGTTTCCAGCACAAGTAAAAAATTCTTATTATAGTTCTCTGTCCAAGGACACCGAAAAAGGCCGAATGAGATCAAAGTGCCGACAATTAAGTGAAGTTACTGGTTTACATACCTATGCAGTGATTAAAGTTTGGCCAAGCAATTTAGTTCCAACCCGTATAATCAATCAGACAGAAACTTAAAACTTAAAACAAATAAATTGGGCACATATTTACACCTGCACCAGCGGCATGTCGAATTATAAAGAGCTAGCGCGAGCACGACGCTGTTGTCATCACATCATCGTGCGATACTAGATTTCGTATTGCGGTTCGGGTCAAAAGGTCATCACTGCTGATACATCGACGTCCTGATCTTACAACATTCCGAAGTAGTCGATAAGCATGAGGTAGGTATACTGATTAAAAAATATTTGTATTTACTATAATAGTTATAAAATTACTTTTTAAGCTACAATTTAACAAATTAAAAAAAATTATGCAGCTATATGTAGTACAGTGTCCCGACGTCAGGAATCTAATGTAATCATAATTAGGATTGTTTCATTAAGTAGTACTTAAGTAGCCTCCTTTCTTATGGAACAAACGTCAAGCAAGCTAATCTACGTTATGCGTAAATGCTACAGTGAAGTCAGTGGTTCTCAATAAGTTTTCTATTAAAAAATCGTGCAGATTTGTTTAAAATTTGACTTTTTCCATGCCGTTTGAACTGGTAGGATTTGCTTACTTAACATTAAACAGTGAATTATTTGCTCGATTCAAAGTCAAACATTGACAGAGGAGAAATTTCTCATTACGAACACCTAAGCAGGGTTTGTTATGAAGTGCGAGTTACACGAAATGAAAAATATTACGACCTAACCGTGAATGGCGTGCGAAATTGCCCATTACTATTGATGGGCTGACTTATACCTATGTGCCGTGAATAATGAATAATGAGTGAAAGCACTCATTTTGACGTGGGTGGCACGTAAGGTGCCTGCGAAAATTAGCTGTTTTACATATTTCGTGTAAAAAATTTGAAGAAAATTCGTTTCGCGGTAATTATTTAGCTGCACAACGAATTTATAACGTAGTACAGAATACATATATGTATGTATGTATGTATACTTTGCTGATGGAGGTTCGTTTTACTAAACAGGTAATGGTGAAAATTTAACCTAAATGTTTATTGAATGAACAACATTAACATACCTGCACCCTGCACTGATAAAAAATGTCACAGAATTTTTACATATTTATACTTAATGGTTTTTATACACAAAGAATGTTAAGTGAATTGAACATACATAAATACATTGTATAGAATTCACCTTAGCAAAGCGCATCCCAGGCTGTATAGAGGCATTACCCTACCCAACTATACCACACATAAACACGACACCACCCCCGGGGTTTACACAGACGAGCCGGCGAAGCAAGAAGAGCGCCAGAAGACAGGGCCCTAGCCGGCGGGGCCCAGCCAGGACAAAAGGAGATCCCACAAAACGCCTACACCGGCCGCATTTGCGGTCGGGGTAGACGACGGATGGGGCCCACCTACGAAGGCTGTCCAGGCCTACACGAGATGAGGCAGGCTAAAGAGGGAAAATCCCCTTCGATTCCAAATCATGAGGCCAATTTCCAGCCATGGAATAATGGCGCGTGTATAGAATTACACATTTGAGTGTATACCTTCTTTGTGATTCATTCTTATCTTTTACGTTGTACTTTTACATTTTAAAATGTATTATTCCTAATTCTTTATGTGTCTTTACTATATTTGATGTAAATATACTAATAAAAGTGTGAATTTACAAGGCCTGATTTAACTCCACCAATCAGATTAATCATGTGATCACCCGGTGTGGTGTTACCGCGCGTGTGTAGATAACTGTGCTTGTTGTTCAGTAGGCATGTTTAGATTCATTTGTGACGTAATAGCCTTACGAGGATAATCTGTCAGACCATAGCCATAAAACAAACCCATACTAAAATGAAGAAAATACTTTCTGGTGCGAATCTTTATATGAATCTTTAAAAGGAATCGAATCACCCATCGAATAATGAATAAGATAAATTTTTTTTCAAAATTTTCAAAGCTTAGGTACTGGATTTTATGGATTTAAAATAATGGCAATTTCGCTTCATAAATAAGCAGGGCAGAACTACAGAGTATTTTTCAACACCAGCATTTTTCATGTCTTACAAGAGTTGATTCACCTTGCGAGAACACGCTGTATATGCATAATGACACGAAAACATGAAATTAAACAAGTTTGATGCCTAGAAAACGTATAGCATTAAGAGAATCGACCACCCTGTACTTATATTTCTATACAGATTATCATTGAATGGCAAACGTTGGATCTCTGCGTTGGAGATTTATAATTACAATTACATAAAATGAGACCTGTGTCCTGTCAGTCGGTCGTTTAACTGAGACACACCAGAGACTGCCAAACGTTTTGAAATCAAGTTCTGAGAAAAAAACATACCTGCATCTCCGTCTAAACTAAATATGATATTCCCATAGTTAAAAGTTTTTATTTTAGAGTACCTACATAAAAAATTTTGTCTGAAAATAGTACAGGCGCTTACTGCCCGATTAACAAATTTAATTTAATTAATTGATAAATGAATTTAATCTATTATTATAAGTGAAAACATTTATTACATCATCATGGATATCTTCTGTGGACATCTTTCATAAATATAAGTGCGGTAAAATTTTACTATATTATACAAAGGAATAGCTATGTAAATTCTAAAATAGCAGAAAAGCATACAATAAAACAAGCACAAGTTTCAAACAAATGACACGACCCCCAATAAAAAATTGCCGCAAATGATTTAAAAAGCATATACCTATTACAGAGGGGAGGTTCCTGCACTCAAAATAGGACCAAATTCAGTTAATGGGGCATACTTTTCGCGATATCTTGAGTACGACGACGTAGGGACCTCACTTATTTGATTTAGTGCAATAAAAAAATACAAAAGAACACACTATCGCCTACTTTGTACGAAAATCTTTGTAGCGTATTTTTTGGTATTTATCGACAAACCGCCAAATCGTTCGAATTTATGCGGAGACGTTTGGGAACTGCCGGTTCAGACCATTAATTCATTCGCCTTACCCATCCATTGTCTATCAAGCGGATTTATGAGGAGGAAATAATTTACGGTCGCCTTAATATTCATAGGAAAATTAGTGCTTTCTACCAGACATCGGGCCCATCCCAAAAAAACTGCACGGCGCTCTTGCGTAACCAAGTCGGCGACATAGAAAGCGATCGTAAATCTAATTTATTTTTCGGGAATCGTAAATTTCGCGGCGCGGTACAATGGTGCGCCTGGGAGTAGCGAAATGTCGGAAAGTTGTATTATATGTAAATGCGTGGGTTCTTTTACATTGTCGGACATGCATACAAAATCGCTGGCGAGTGAAATAATAAGTTTTAGTATATAAATAATAACTTTTATTAGTTTTATTCCAGTAAGATCACGTACATGATACTAGAAGCGCCAATATTAGGACATGCACCATACACATAAAAAATAGAATATCTATGTCAATTTACGTGGTGCATATAGATTATACAGGGATGGCCAGAAGTACGGAATAAAATTCATATCTTTTGAATGAGTAAATTTTTTTTAAAACGCCGAAACACGTTATCTGATTTTGATTTTTTCCCATCTTTCGGTTATATAATAATTAATTTTTCTTCAACCCCCTAACCTCCAGCTACCCCTACTTTTTTTTTCAAATGGAAACAAAAGGCATGAGGGGGCTCGTTGAAAAGCTTATAGAAAACCGAATCCAGCCATACCAAATAAACAAGTTTTATTTTTTCAATAGCAAGGTTTTTAGGGTTGTATAAAACACCTACTTAACAAGTGAAATAAAATTTAATTATCTTCAGTGTTATCCTCCATGAATTTGCACAGAATAAAATAAAGAATTTGAAACTGTACCTATCACTGCTAACGCAAAAAAGATATATTTTTTATGTTGCGTTTTTTTGGCACCACTTACTTGCCAGGCTTTCTGGTTAATTTTTCGCTTTAGTTGTAAATTGGAGTTCGAAACGTTACTATTGTGTCAAAATCAAGTTATTTACTGAATTGCAATGGTATTGTCGGAAAGGCAACGCATCGAAATCTTGATATTGCTTGGATGTGGAGACAAAATAAGAAGTCAGGCTGAAGTGCGCGATTTATTTAATGCGAAATATCCCGAAAACCAAATCTCGCAAGGGACAGTTAGTAAAATATTTCACAAATTTGAGGAACACGGTACAGTACAGACTTTGCCCAAAACTGGACGGGCACGTGCTTTGAATGAAGAAAAGAAATTAGACATTGCATTAGAACTTGTTGAAAATCCTCATACTTCAACTGTTTCATTGGCCCGCAATCACGATGCTTCTCGAACTGCAATTCGAATGTTTCTGAAACAAGAGAAATACCACCCCTATAAGGTATGTCTTGTCCAAGAGCTTTTGGAAGACGATTATGATAGGCGATTACAATTTTGTGAGGAAATGATGAGACGGTGTGACGACAATAATGGTTTTCAACGAGACGTACTTTTTTCGGATGAAGCTACGTTTTATTTAAATGGAGTGGTTAACAGGCACAACTATCGCTTTTGGTCCCAGGAAAATCCACACTGGACATGCGAATCGCATACGCAGCATCCACAAAAAGTTAATGTATGGGCAGGTATCATCAACAACAGAATCTTGGGCCCATTCTTTTTTGAAGAAAATCTTACTGCCGCACGCTACCTGGATTTCCTAACATTTGACCTGATACCTGCTCTAGCTGTGATTTTCCCTCATGAA